ACTGCCAGTGTAATTAAAGCATGATTTTTTTTTTTTTAATTGAGTACAGAGCAATTGCGTTGTTTAGTCCTATTTGCACTTGTAAGTAAGTTATATTCTAGAATTTCTTACAAGGAGGATACAGACGGTCTGCCAGATAGATTGCTTGATACATTTGTGGGGGGGGGGGGGGGGGGGGGGTTTACAAATAACTCGTGTTCGCATCAGTTATCTGAATGAGATTGCTCCGTTTGGCTGGAATTTTTGGTTGTTTGACTTGTCAGCAAACGGAATTTGGAACTATACTTTCTAGTTCTGTTGACCATAATTTGACAGATAAAATATCTGTGTGACTAGTATTTATGCCCATCGCTTAATGTAGCAAAGATGCTACTCTCGCACTTGCAGGACAACACCATGAAATTCTTATACTATCTCAAGATCAAATGCTTGATCATGGTGCTAATTTATCAAGTGTTTTGGACGGCAAGGTGCTACAGTGCTAGTCCACCATTCCGGAGATATATCGAACACTCAAGTGCAACTATTCTACTGAGGTCAATGCCACATTCTTCGGCAAGTTGTGCCAGCCGAAAACTCAAGATTCCCCGGTTATATTTTTATCACATCTCAAGAATTTCCAATTGGGAGGTCTTTGCAGGTCAAGAATTCCGTTAACATGAAAAAGAAAGATATATAAGAATCAAAGCATGCAAGTCACACTGCAACAGCTATTTCAACGTAGACATTAATCTTCGTGCTCCTCTAGTTTTAAGATTCTCCGATACCTCAATGGTAACTGGCAAAACATGTGTGCTGGAAGGCAAAGCAGTTGACACACCTAACCTAACAGTACATGGTTGGGAGGCCCAAAGGGTAGCAAATCTGGAGGGAGCAACTGCCACCAAGGAAACCTCAGAGAGGGTCATAGAAATGACATCAAATTTTACAACCATGCCAAGGATGGACAGCGTGGGACAACCATGCCTCTGTAGTTAGGGCCAAGGATGGACAGGAATTTAAAAGCAGCTGAAAATTGAGGTAAATCTTTTTCTTTTTTTCTTTTTTTTTTGTCGATGAACTTAGATAAACAATATTAACATATCAGATAAATATTTCCTATAGTTCATGCAAGTTAAATAGACAAACGAGCAGTTTTCTGAGTTTTACATCAATTAAGCTCCTTTTGAGCTCTTCATTAATTTACTTTTATTGAAGAAAAATATAGTGACTCTATGAAATTTACATAATATGCTTCATATCTTTACAACATATACTTGTGCTTAAAGCTTGTAGTAAGATCCCCAACTAGGGTTTGTTCAATCCCGTCGCCCTAATTAGAAGGAACCACCAAATCTTTGGCACCATGGACACGGAGTTGGACAGCAAGAAGAAGCAACAGCACCAGAAAAGCCTTGGCACAGAGACGGAGAGCGTGGAGAGGAAGAAAGCAAGGGTTTGTAATGAGCAAGAAGAAGGTGACAAATCACGCATCTATTTTCTTGTCAAGAACCAGTCTTATGGTACCTTTTGGTACATAGACCTGAATGAAAGAGATGACGAGGGTCATCCATGTGGTCAGAAACTAAATGCGCAGCGCCCTCCATTCACAGCCTACCAACGGGTTGCTATTGGTTCTTGTGGCTTGCTGATTTACGCTTTGGGAGGTCTAACCGAGGAGTCAGATGATGATACTGGTCTTTAATACACGGTCTACTTTTATAATACGGCAAACCGGTCCCTTCAGAGGGATGGTTTATTTTGGAAGAAAACCGATGAGAGCGGCGGTGAACCTTGGTACATTGGTCGAGCCTCGGGCTTTAGATTTGCTACCCTTTGGAAGGCACAACCTTGCTGCATTATGTTCGGTGTGTTCACTGCTTCGCCTCCGGCCGGCACCGCGGATCACCCTCGTGATTTTTCTGTTACCATTGAGAAATATGAGCTCCTCACAATAGAGGATCCTCATGGAAATTAAGAAAGAGCTGCTGCCGTGTGAGTAACCCAGCTCTGATGTCAAGTAGTGATTGTTTATTCCTAAATGCTTGTCCAGTTTCCATTTTGCTGAAAAAAAAAAAGTCCGAAAATGTGGAGATTACTTCGTTTCTTGGTGCTCGACATGCATTGACCGTACCGTACTGATTTGTGCTTAATTTGATCGGTGCTCGACTTCATCTTGATTCATTTTCAGGATGAGGAAAAATGAAATTCTAGTAAAATTCATCATTTCATTTACGCGGTTGAAATCGCTAATGGATAATTTTTCTCTTCGAGTTCAATGGAGAAACAACCCTATATATTGTCAAGTTTTTTTTTTTTTAATCCTTGACAAATAAAATATCCACATCGGGATTTTCACCCAATAGGTTCAAAGTGAAGAAAGAGATTTTATCTAATGCATATTGTAAAGTTACAAAGCATATTATGTAATTTTATGATCATATGGCCAAAGTTTGGAAATTAAACAATTAATTCAAAATCATTACGTTTTTCTCCGTTAGGAACAGGGCTACAACTTTAAAAGAGGCAAGCGAATAAAGACTTTTCAAAAGAGCTTAAGCAATGTAAAACTGATTGACTTTTCAAATTTTTTCCTTTTTTTTTTCGAAGAGGATTAGTGTTTCTCCACTTATCCCCTTCCTAACAAAATTTGAGTTTTCAAAAACATAATCTAAAACATGATTTAAAAGCATATTATATGATTATGAGATATAACCAAAATTTGAAAATTAAACAATTCAAAATCACTACTTTTTTCACCATTTACAAAAGAAGCATCAACCTCAAAAGAAGCAGATTTTTTTTTCGGAGACGACAATAGTTGTATAACCTAATCTATTCTACATTAACGGAGAGGGGGCGGACCAAAGGAGACTCAGGAATAACTCGAAGGGGATTGAATCACCATCGAACCAAACGGATGCACGATACATCCATCTAGATTTTTTTAAGCAAACCAAGGCCCTGTTTGGCACCTCAAGTTTTTACCAAATTTGTATAATATTAGTTTTTTAACAACTTTTGCTACAGGAACCCCAAAAAACTTATCAAAGTTTTTAACCTACACACTTAAAAAATACACAAAAAACTTTCCTTTCAACTTTTTTTTTTCTTCTTTTTCCTCCTCCACCCAACCCACCACATCCTCCGCCGCTGGCCACCACCTCCACCACCACTTCCGGCGCCGGTCATCATTCCGGCCGCTAGTTCCGGCCTTCAACTTTTTTTTTCTCTCTCTATCTCGACCCCTCTCCTCCTCTCCCCTCCCCCTTTGACCAATCTATGGTGTCTTTCTGAAAATTTTTTCCTTTTTTTTTCTCCCTCCCCCTCTCCTCTTAGCGTCTGCCTCCCCCGCCACCCTCCCCCTCCCCCTCCCCCTCTCCCTTTGACTGATCTGGTCACGCGACCAGATCGCAAAGGAGGAGAGGGGAAGGGAAGGGGCGGCGGGGGAAGGGGAGAGGGGAAGAGAAGGGGCCAGACCAGCGGGGAAAGGGAGGGTGGCGGGGAAGGGAAGGGCCGGCGGGGGAAGGAAGGGGAAGGGGAGGGGCGGCGGGGGAATGGGAGAAGGGAAGGAGAGGGGCCAGACCAGGAGGGAGAGGGAGGGTGGCGGGGAAGGGGAGGAGAGGGGAAGGGGAGAGGCGGTGGGGAAAGGAAGGGGATGGGGAGAGGGTGCGACCAGAACGCGTCGCGAAGGGGGAGAGGGAGGGTGGCGGGGAAGGGGAGGAGAGGGGAAGGGGAGGGGCGGCGGGGGAAGGAAAGGAAGGGGAGAGGGAGAGGGAGAGGGAGAGGGAGAAGGAGAAGAGGGATGGTGGGGAAGGAAGGTGGCTGCCATGGAAGAGAAAAAAAGTAAAAAAAAAAAAAAAAAAAGGAAGAAGGAAAGTTGCTGCCATGGAGACTCGGAGAGTGAACAGCGCGAGGGAAGCTGGGAATGGAGAAGCAAAACGGGGAGAGAGCGAAGGAAAAAGAAAAAAGAAAAGATTGAGAAAAATAAAAAAAGAAAAAAAGAAAGAGAAGGAAAGAAAATGAAAAGCGGAAAAAAAACTTTTTATCTTACAAAGTTTTTTCTCAACTTCTTACAGTGATCTACAGTAAGTTTTTATACAAACACCCAAAAAATCTCCACCTTCCAAACAGCCCAAAAGAAGCAGATCAACAAAGACTTCAAAAAGACACACACACACTCATTAGTTGTCCTTCAACTGACATAAATGATATGACAGATGACCAGAGGTTCCTAACAAAATTTGAGTTGTCAACAACATTACTTTAATACTACATGATACTATTAATGGGGAATAAGAAGAGAATGTTCATAGTTCTTTTAATTTTAAGCCATTAAATTGATAATCAAGTATACTGTTTCTCCAAATCTACATGTTAACCATTTAGATTTAGCATAATATCAACCCATTGGTAGTCATTTTAAGCAATCGAAGAATATTTATTAAATATAGTATTATAGATGAAATACTATGAAAAGCTATATATCTTCATAATAAACCTTATAATTTACTAAACCTTCAATCCAGCCCTTAGACACGTACGTCTTTCATGATTAATTTACTAACTGAACCTTATAATTTAGACAACTAACGACGTACATATACCAATTTCATTTTTTCTAAGGCAGTACCAAGTTCGTATTGGACCCATGCCGGCCTCAAGAGTAGTTGAATTAATCGAAATTAGCTGTATAAACATTATGGTTTGTTAGACTCTAAAATCTTGCTAAATTCGTTGTCGCATTTGTGACCTTAACCATGGCTTCTCATGCCAACCCAGATTCCAATTACAATGACTTCAACCAATTTCTTGGTCAAATAAATTCAGTTCCTCATCAGAGATTGATGAAGAGGAGGATGAAGCTCCTCTTGGGAGCAATGAGGTCTTGATCAAATAGAACAAGAAATATTTCAAAGATTTGCCTAGCAAATCCATCTGCAATTAGTTTGTATTAATTTGATCACACATTTTACAAAACTCTCAAAATCCAGTTAATCAAAAGAGGAAACTTGTCAGATATGTTCATGTCTGGTTCCTTCAAGAAATACAAGGATTTGAAGAATCAGGCTTCGAGGGACAACATGGAAATTGGTGGAAGGCTGTCAAATGATGCTAGCCATCTCGATCGTTTTATGCATGAACTCGAGATCGTGAAGGAAGACGTGAAAAGCATGGATAAGGTCCGCAATAGGCTGAATGAAACGAACGAGGAGAGCAAAACCGTCCCGGATGCGGCAAAAATGAAAGAACTCAGAGCCCGAATGGATTCAGATGTTGATCATGTCTCGATGCTGGCCAAGTCCATCAAGAAAAGAGTCGAAGCTCTAGAATTCATGTCGTCCACCGATACCATTGACCGAACCATGATTTCCGTGGTTATGGGGCTTGGAAAAAAACTAAGGGACATGATGGATGAATTTCAAGGGCTGAGAGTCAAAATGGCAACTGTATACAAAGAAACTGTCGAGTCCAAGTACTACTCAATCACGGGAGAAAAGAAATTTATAGAGGCCATCGAGAATTTGGCATCCAGCGGACGACTTGAGGATTCTCTGGAAGAGGCAATCCAGGAGCATGGGAGAGATAGAGTAGTGGATTTTTTTCAAGAAGTTCAAGAAAGGCGTGAAGGTTCGAAGAATATGCAGAGGAATTTGGTTGAGTTGCATCAGGCATTCTTGGGCATGGCTGCTGTAGTTGAGGGATTTGGTCAGAAGGAGAGCAAAAGTGGCGGCTTGGGTCGGGAAAACCAAGTGGTCCGTGAGAGTTCCTTTATGAAATCAACTGGGGCGGCACAATTGCTAGACCAGCCTGATCATTATGATATGGAAGCCAGAAGGCGTGCTAAATTTGCTATAGCAGGAGCTGTCACTCTTGTTGTCATGATCCTTATCCCACTCTTCGTTAATGAGTCTTTTAGGGATTTGGAATAGATATATCTACCTAAGAGGAGACTTAATATTGAGATGCCCGTTGTGTGTCCAGCTTTTTTTCATGATATTCGTCATTTGCAAGAATAAATCTCCACATTATTGACTCACTAACTGTGGGATATAGTTATTGATGTATTCCATGTTGGGAAGTTAGGGGGAAAATGAAAAGAAAAGTGATAGTATATCAAAATGCACCCATTGACAAAAGGTACCGATTGATTAAGGGGGTACCTATTATTCAAAAGGTTTCTATTTATTGAAAGGTATATATTGACAAAAAGTTACCTATTCATTAAGAAATGTTGATGAAGATGTATGTACATGTCTAAAGAGACGTATTTTCATAAAGGGGTATCTAGACTATAAAAAATAAAAAGATCTAGACATCATTCACTCACTTTTAACTTTTACTTTCATTTTTCTTTCTTCTTTTACTAATAAAAAAAAAACATAAAATTCCGTAAATATTCTTGAGAGAGTTTCTTTGTATTGGTGCAAGGAAATTCTAGTTTCTGGCATTGTAATTCTTAGATGGAATTGCCACAAACTCGATAGCAAGTAGCGGGGGCAAATTTCCTCAAGAAAAGTGAATCTATTCACGTCAAAACCACATCTTGTATTCTATATTTGTAGTTATTTTTCTAACACAAACCAGGGGACATTCATTCCTTAAAAGAAAAAAAAAAATTTACTACCATGTTTCTTTTGAAATATTGATGAAACACACGACTACCTCTCCAATCAGATGTAAGGTGTACTGAAATCTGTAGTAATTGTTTAGTTGCTCTCCTCTCTTTATATTAGCTTTGTAGACAAAGAACAGTATTAGATAATCGTCCATTCTCATGAAAGGTCTATCTATTATGTTCAATCTTAATACTAGTTCCAATGACCAATGCAAAGGAAGCAGTAGAAAATAGGCGTGGCCAATGAGAGGGTTGGCAAATTTTGCACTTTCAATCAGACATAAATTGGATCGCGTGTATGAATACCGAGAAAGATTTTACATGCAAAAGTAGGCATTCCAATCTTTATTGTATAACTGATCCTGGATTTGATAAGATGGCAAAAGTTTCAGAAGCACCGATAAATATGTTGAAATTGATGTGGATTCTTGATCGCTCCGATGACCATTGACGTAGCAGTTCAAACCGACCGCCGAAAACTTGGCTTCTGGATTTAACTAATTTTAGCCCATTTCGTTCGCAGAATTTCAGGAGCGAGTAGATCATCAGTGTTTGGCTGTTTTTGGGCTGCCAGAGAACGCTGGAAAAAAAAACAACAACAACAACTTCTTTTTGCTTTTTTATTTTTGGAATTGCTTTTTCTCAATGAATTTATCTGTGACTTCTGACGTGAAAATAATAAATAAGAAGTAAGGTTGACTCAGTGTTCAGTTCATAATTCATTTATTCCATATATATATATATATATATAACTAATTAAGTTACTGTGCTGTACAATCTACAACATTCCAGTTAATTGACAGTTATATCAACCTGTAATTATTTCGACAAGAATTTAGTCTAAGAATCTTAAAACCAAGATACCTTGTCATAGTTTATTCCTAGAAATCCTTTTTTTTGTTTTTTAGCAGAAGAGGGTTGGGAGATTTGAATTCAGAACCTCTAATTTCTAAATCTATTTAAATTCGTTTTCTTTCCCAATCAAGATATCTTGTCACATTTTATTCTTAGCAATTATTTATTTATTTATTTTTTGAGAAGGGGATGGTTGTGGTCTATTAAGTTCTTTTTCTTATCCGATCAAGTGGTCCATTATGTTTTTTACTTCTCATGCCAAGTGGCTTTCCGTGTCGGGCCTAACGATGCAACAGGTTATGAATACGGATGACTAGCCAGTGTCACAACCCAAATGGAGGAAATTAAAGAAAAAATAAAGAAAATATATGCATAATAGCAAGTAAAGATAATACTCCAATTCAAGTATTCAATAACTATTAAAAAGTTAATAGGCTACTAAGTTTTCATTGATGTAAAACATAGATAATTAACAAAAAAAACTTTGCATGTTCATGTACATAACTCTTTGGTTGTATATGTAATTGGTCCCTGTCTTATATCCCTATACCAATTAGACATGGAAAAACATCACTGAACTCCCAACCATTTTAACAAGTCAATCAAAAACTTCTATACACAACTTTTCATTTTTTTTTTTTTTGGGTTTTTGTGTCAATTTTTTCTTTGCTAAAAAGAAAATCCTAAAATTAGTAGTATCAAATTTAATTGGCCCCACGGTTGATCATTTCCATGTACTGGTTCAACGACTCTTGCCTCTGCAGCCTCATATCTTCATTGAATTTCTTGATGAATGCTTCGACTCGGCGGTTCAACTCGTCCTGACCCGGCGAAGGCTCCCTACTAATCCTCCCAGGAACCGGAGACAAACTCGCCGGCGGCCCGGTGGTTTGTGCGTCATAATAATTGGTGCGGTCTCTGAAGGTCTGTGATTTGGGCACGTGGTCCGGAGTGAAGTCATGCTCCGAATCTAATGATGGGTTTACCAAGACCTCCCGCCCATGATTCTCCCACGTGTCAGATCTCTTCAAGTGCCTCGTGAGCGGCACGTGACGCCCATCCGTTATCATCTTCCACGTGCTCTCCAGCGTTTCATCCCTCTTTGGCCTTGCCACCCTCAGCGCTCTCCCACCTTCCAAATCAAAATAAAAAAGAATAATTAATAAAAAAGAATAAGAGCTAAATGGAGTAACTATTTGACCACCTAACCTAACTACTTCAAATGAAATTTTAGGCAATTAACAAAAATTAGAAGACAAGAAACCTTTGTGGGCCAATATGGTAGCAACTACTAATAAGTGCGTGCTTATCTAATGTAGCCAAACATAGCAAATTTCTTCTGTCCATACGTAAACACAAAAAAAAAAGTAAAGGACAAATTAAATTTCGTAGAGTTTTTCCGTGAAACTTCTGCATTAAAAGATGGTCAAACTTAGGACATCCTTAAAAATGGCTAATGTTTACAACCATCAAGGAAAAGAATGAATGCACAATTACAAGATGTAATATTACCGCAAAATTTCAATTTTTTTTTTAAATCTTTCATATTTTCTTATTCATATCCTTTTCACCTCTAACTGCTAAATTTCAAATTCGAACTCTCTGCACCGACCTTATAAGCACTCTAACAGTACACTCTACAAGTTCTCTCCTGATCATTAATGGATCAACTGCAGCTGTTACACCACAAAATTTCGTTGCGTGAGTCCACAATTTAAATCTATATAGCGTCCTTAATAAATTACTGCGTGGTAGTTGACTTGTCTTGCTACCAATAGTAGGGTTAAAATTGTAATAGTAGTAGTAGAACTTAAAAAATGGGAAAAAAGTAGTAGTAAAATAAAAGACGGGAATTTTTAATTAGTAAATTGAGTTTATACCTTCGGGACTGGTTTTGATAGGCTTCCTGTGACCAAATCTCGACGCAGTTAGCGGTTTCTCTTTTTCCGGCAGGAGAAGATCCAGGGGAGACTCGGGAGAAACCATCTTCTGAGACGGAGTGGCACTAGACTCCGAAACCACCCATTCATCATTCGCCACGTCATCAGCATCTTCAGTTCCTCCAACGGCCTCAAATTGAACACCGTTCACCACCACGGGCTTCAGCTCCACAACCTTCTCGTCCTCATCTTCCTCTTCATCTTCAGCTTCAGCTTCAGCAACATACACCTCCACCACAGGCGGCGGAGGCAGCGACAGCGGCCCCGGAGCTTCCACTGCATTCCTATTCAGCTCATCCTCCCGCTGAGCCAATACTACCGCGGCCACCACATCAGACGGCGGAGGTGTTCTAACAGAAATCAGCGGCTCACGTGATTGATAGGAATCCGAGTTTTTGGATTGGTGATGATGACTGAAGCGGGAGGAGGCGGCGATGGTGATGATAATAACGTTGATGATGAAGTAGAGGTAAGGAGGCTTGAGCCAGGTCACCACAGATTTCCAAACTACAGGAAGGTCATAACAGGTGAAAGCTGTAATCGATGGAACAGAGAATATCATCCCCATAGCCATGGAAATGGCTCCCGTCGAAATCAAGATAATTTTCAGGGAAAGTAGCAACGTAGTAGGAAACGACATTATTTTTTTTCCCTCCGATTTGTAATTTCCAACAGACCAGAGAGTGGAGTGTATATGCTTAGCTTTGAGTCTGGGGAACTTTTCCTTCCAGGTTGCATGGTTCTGTGGGAGGTGGGTGGCTGGGGATATAAATAGGGGTGGGGAAATGGAGGGGGGACCGGGGAGGAGACGTGGTAAGTGGGATTTGATGGAATGAGGGCCGTTGGATATAAACATGGGGTGGGGACATGGAGGAAGGACTAAGGAGGAGACGCGGTAAGTGGGATTTGATCGAATGAGGGCCGTCGGATGTGGGAATGGAATGGAGTTCGTGAGTTGGAGCTGCGGGGTGCAGCAATGCAACTTGCTGAGGAAATTGGGGGGGTGGCCCACGTGTGAGAAGATGAAGTGATTAATTAGTCAAATTAAGGATAAAGTGATTTCACTTTAGTTAATTAATGAATTTAACGATCAAATACTTTGTATTATGAAACTAAGAGACAAATTGACAGTTTGTAGTTGTTGCACAAGATTCACACTGAATTTAAATGTTTTCGGGACCACAGATTGCTCATACGATTTTTTATAGATTGCTTGTTAATACAGTTCTCACATCGATAATGAAATTCAAACGCACAGATCTTTTGCATGAAAATAATCCATTCTTTTATATTGGTGGTGAAGCTATCAATCACTTGTTATAAAAGTAACCATTACTCCGATATCCATCAAATTTGCTTTAAAGCATAAATCATACAGTATATTATAACCTGTCAAAGTGTCTTGTTCCATTTGAGTTCTTGATTGGTCTATGCTGCTATAAGAACTTTTGGTCAAAGGTAAAAAATTTTTAATAAGAGTTGATTTTACCAAAGGAAAAAAGGGATTTTGTGTTCAAAA